GCTGGCATGTCTCAGAGTTATGCCCCACTGCAGCCAGCCACCAGAGATATGGTAGTGTACCTGCGACACTGGAGCAGAAGGAGGCGTTCTCAGAGGCATGTTGCTCCCTAAGCCTCTTCAACTTGGGAACACCACCCTCCCCAACTCAGGAACTCATGGAAAATGATGCCAGCAAAAACTGCAGTGCAACCTATAGGTGCCCATGCAATGGAAAAGGCAAAATCCCCCCCCCCCGCGATGCAGTCCCACACACAAGCTCTTGTGTAGCACAGGGTGCTGGTGACTATGGCCAATCACAGCCCTGCCCCAGCAAGACATAAACCCAGCCAGAGCGAACCATAGCTCAATTTAAGTGTGTGGCATGGGCCTCCATCTCCAAAGTCTCTGACATGCATCTTAAGGATTCATAGAGTTGCCCTTGGGTGGCAGGAAATGCACAGAGGGAGAGCTTAGCACCTACACTCAAGGGGAAGAGTAAATGTACTTGCTGAGTGACTAAAACATCTCATTTCCGAATCAGTACAAATACCCAATCTCCACACAGGGAAGGGGTGAGCATGCACTGCTGGATGAACAGAAGCCGGGTTCCAACATCCTTGGCCTCAGAGTCTGCATCCTCCTCCCTCTTCCTACTCACATACACCATTGGCACTGACTTGACAATGAAGGCTCCCACAGCCAAGGCTAGCAGTGTGTGCATATGGGGGCAACCTGAGGCAGGCCCACTAAACATATGCCCCAAGTCATGTGATAGAACTTACAACACCCATGGCACCTATTGTGCTGCCAGATCAAAGCCCTATGCAGCAACACCAATAGATGAAACAGACACAGTAGAAGTTAACTTCACACAGGGGATGGGTGTCATGTCCCTCAGGTACAATCCAGGCAAATGGAGTTCTCTGCCCCAGTGGAAGCAACCACAGACCCCACTGGCATGGCTATTCTGGTCATGGTCACAGTGCTGTTCATCATCGTTGCATATGTCTATTTGGCATTTTGACCTGCATCTCCCCCCAATATCCCCCCGCATCTTCTTGATCCTTAGGATGCGGGTCAAAATGTGGCCATGCAGCAAATAGTGGGAAATTGAGCAGTACAACCAGGGGATACAAGAGACCAAGGGCAGAACAACCGTTTTTGCAGAATCGGTCCAAGAGACAACACAAAGTCCTCCACTTCCAACACAGCAGAGCTCCTGCAGCATCCCAACCTCAGGCAGCCATACTGATCCCTTGTCCTACATGACTGATGTCCACCCAAGTCCATTTAACTCACACAGGTATGGTGTGATAGGGAGGGCTTTCCCCATCTTCCCATGGTTTCCCATAGCAGCTTGCAGATGCACTGGACAGAGGGAAGTATTCAAGCACTGTCATCAGATCTCATTACTTTCCCCTTGCTGCTTTTCAGTAAAGTCTGGAGTAAAGCCAATTTGGTGAGAGCCAGTCTGGTGTAGTGGTTAAGTGCGTGGGACTCTAATCTGGGAGAACTGGATTTGATTCCCTACTCCTCCACTTGCAGCTGCTGGATGATCCTTGGCAAGCCATAGTTCTCAGAGCTCTCTCAGCCCCACCAACCTCACAGGGTGTCTGTTGTGGGAAGGGGAAGGGAAAGGAGTTTTTAAGCTGCTCTGAGACTCCAAGTGAAGGACGGAGTATAAATCCAGTCTCCTCCTCCTCCTCTTCAGCTATGATCTCTGTTTGGTGTTGGGCAGATGGAGGCTTGCTCACTGCACCCTCCCACCTCCACTCCCTCTTCATTCACTGCCTGAACACCTACCCCACTTCGGTAATTTCCTCATAGTGCTTCTTGAAATGACCTCCTCTTTACACATATGAGAGGGTAAACTCATGCTGGGATAAATATTGTTAAGTCTTCACAAGGCCACAGGACCTGTTTGATTTAGGTGTGAAATAAAACAGAAGTCCAGTGGTACCTTAAAGACTAATTACATTTATTTTGATATGAGCATTCATGGGTCACAGCTCAACTCTTCAGATATTGTAGATAACTGCAATGGACTAACATGGCCAACCCGCCACATTTCCCATGCCCTTCCCATTCATGCAGTCTGCTGACTGCTGTGTGCAGCTTGCACGTGGAGTGGGCTGGTGGGTGGTCCAAGGTGTGTGTGTCTGCTGTAGCTGAGGAGCAAATCTCTGGGTTTCATACTCCCCCATAGCACTACTGGCATTTGGTCAGCTATACAGCTCGGCAGTTCAAAGAGGAAGAGCTCTGGGATGCAAGGTGGCTGAAACACCCCTTTGAGTGCAGCACGGAGGGATTATGAAGGGGTATGTCTGCCAAAATGATGGGTGTTTGGTGACATCAGAGCTATACTGAAATACCTGATGGCATTCTTCCTTTCTATCCATCTGTTTAGCACAGTGGTTAGGGTGCTAGTTTTGGCCATTGGTGATGTGGGTTCAAGACCAGTCTCTGTCTTGTGTTTCGTTGCCAGTCAGTCTGTTGCCAGGGGAACGGGTGGGATTGTCTTCTGGCCGTCATCCCTGGCCTTCTGTGGCTCAGATCCATGGGTCCTGTCTAGCACATGAGTGCCTCTTCCCAGTGGTCTAGTATGGGGGGCATGTGACATCCTTTGCTAGGAGTCCTGCTGCATGTTCCCCTCTTGGTGCCTCAAGACCTGCTGTCTCCCTGCATAACAAAAAGAAAGTTGGCTAGAGGCTGGGACTCGGGCATTCACCTGTAGGGCACCCTGGGGTGAGTTGACTTCAGGGCTCCTTGTACTCACACCTCATGCTTCTGTTGGAGTTGTTACTGAATCCTTCTTCCTTGGCCTTTGGTGCTCCGTTGGGTGGGGGTGGTGTGAGAGCTGTGGCTGCATTGTCAGAAAATGGCTGGCTGTGCCTGCATGTGCAACTCAGGGGGCACTACTCTGATTGGTGCGTGTTGCTAGGGATGCCAGGGTGTTCACAAAGGGGCATGTCCCCCCCTAAAACTACAGTACTACTGTACTATTTGTCAGATCCCCAGTTAAGAAACTCTCCACAACACTTTTGGCAGTGATGCTTTATTAGAGAGATGCTTACTTATAGGAACTGGTTCTTTGTCAGGACTGAAGAAAGCATACGAAATTCAGAGCTTATAGGTAAAACCCAATGCACCCCACACCCCATGCATACATCAACATTTGGCCACTAGCATTTCTATGACAACCCTGACAGATATACAATGTCTTATCTACTCTAGCCTAGTGAAAGAGTCTCCAAGGCCAAATCCCATGAGAAAAGGCCGAGGGGTACAACTTGAGGAATAATTATGGCTACTACAGGCAGCCACTCAACCCACACACACTCCTCTCAGGAATTCCCTCCCCCCTAAAGCATGGCAAGGTGAACAGTGAAGAAGAACGAAAAGAAGCGAAACTGAAACCTTGACACTGTTACCCCAACAGCCAGCTGCCATTGCAACAGCAGCCCTCAGGGTTGGGCTGCCCAATGATTCAGTGGAAGTTTACTTTTTTGTAGAGATGGGTGTTTTCTTTTGTGTATTATTGATGGTCTTTGAATATCTGGATTGTGTATTTGATATTAGGATTTTTATCTGTTGGCTGGCTTTACAAGCTGTTGCTCAGGTACTGGCCAGTGATTTTATAGGCAGTTACTTTATTTGTGCTGGATGATTTTTATCTTTAATAGAGAGATTTGATCATTCTTTTCTCCTATATTTACAGTATTTATAATATTATTTGTATTTATTGATGTGAATTTACTGTATTATTAACATTTTTGTTGTATTTATATGATTTCCCCCCCATGTGAATCACTTAAGACCATATTTTTCAGGCACACAGGATACAAATAAAATAATGATTAGGATTCATATTAAATATATGTCAGACACCATCTCAACCCCAACCTGTCCTTTATGTCTTGAAGCTTGATGTGGTATCTCACAAGATATAAATTGTTTCCTTTTAAAGTTCTGTATGGAAGAGACTTGTGTCATCTGACTGCATTATATATCAATCATTTTGAACCAGGAGCAGCATATCCTTATATTGTTTTCTCACATCCAAACCTTCTTCCTTCCCCGGTACTTATTACTGCAGCTTTAGGCACTGAACACGGTGGGGATTACTTCACTGTATACCAGGTATGGTTAAAGTTAATGTAACCGTTAAAGGTAAAAAGACGGCAGTGGGTTACTGAAAAATTAAAGCCGAAGGGCCGCGCATCCACGTTTTGGGAGCAAGTGTCACGCCGTGGCGTATTCGGAACTTTCTCCCCCCACAAGTAGAAGCCGAGAACCGTAGTTGTGTGGTTGAGTGTCAGACTGGAAGAACCAGGTTCGTTGGATAATGCACGCTCGCTCGCTCTCTGCTCAACATACCTTAAGGTTGCTGTGAACATGAAATGGAAGGAAAAACCAGGTATTGTGGGAGGAAGAACCGTATACAAATGTGACAAACCAGATTCTCCTCAGTCACAACAGATTTCAGTCCACTTCGCCTCTGCCCCTCTCCTCCAAATGCTCTTCTTCGACACCAGTCATTAAAATAGAAACGTTATCTCCTTCCGCGCTTTGGCCATTTCGGTTCTTCCTCACAACAGGCGCTTGCTTTCCATATTAAATTGCACTTTCTACACTACAGTATGTTAAAAAAAAAATCCGATTCGATAGTGGGTGGATTACATAACGGTTCTTTCCCTTCTGCCCCGTCAGCTCCTGTGTCACTTGCTGTAAAAGGGACTACTTTTTGCCTCTCACTCGCGACTCCTAACCCAGCACTGGCGGACAGACATCAGAGCCGTGTTAAATTCCTCGGCAGTAATGGCAGCTGTGCCGAAAGATTATCTGGAGCGCAAGAACTAGGGTGGCGCTCGTGAGTGAGTGCGTGCGCGCTCCCGCAGGACTTCTTTTCCGTACACATAGAGCGGAGGGGGAACGCTGACAGGACTATGTCGAGCCAGGCCTGGCCCGCTGCGCCAGACAGAGAGCCCTAATCTTGTTCTGGCAACGGTGGTGGCTGCGGATATGGCCGAGTCCTCGTCAGCCGCCAGTTCTGCCTTCAGCACCGGCAGTGTTTCCCTGCCGCTCATTGAATCAGGTAACAGAAGCGAGAGAGAAACGCTGACGGAAAGAAGAGCGAGACGGGCAAGACAACCGCGCGGGACTTCCCGTGCCGCCATCTTACTGTTTCTGGTTGTGAATTACAGTCACCTAAGGGGATCCCCCCCCCTCCCTGCACTCACCACCTCCCCCCCCCAATATAGCCCAGCCCCCAAATTAATCTCTCTTTCTCTGTGTGTCTCTCTCTTGTAGAACTGTACTTCCTCATAGCTCGCTTCTTGACCACTGGGCCTTGCAGGAGAGCGGCGGAGGTGAGTCCTCCTCTTGAAACTGCACCCCACTCACCCCGTCCACTCTGCGCGCACTGAAGGGCTTCATAGCGCCCCCCTCGCTTCAGTCAGAGAGGCGCTTTGTAAAATCCCCCCTCCCCTTAAATATCTACTTTTTTTTTCTCCTGCAGGCGCTGGTGCAGGAGTTGGAGCAGCACCAGGTCTGTGTTACTTTTTTGTGTTTAACTGGATTTCCCCCCTCTCCTTTTGCTTCTTAATTTTACCTCTCCTCCACCTTTCTCGTCTTATTATGGCACTTTAACAATCAAAGAGAAGTTCGATACTGCGGTGCAAGCATTTGTAATGGCTTTCTCTTATATCTTCTCTCAACTGCCCCTCTTTCTGATTTGCTCTCTTTTATTTCTATTTTAGTTACTTCCTAAAAGATTGGATTGGAAAGGCAAAAAACACTGTAGAAGTTATGAAGACTTGGTGAGGTTTTCAAAGGTTTTTTGTTGTTGTTTAGGAGATAATAAAAGTTCATTTGTGGAAGAAATAATATTTGTCACTTCATCGCTTTACTATACTTTGTTGAGAAGGGTTTATTAGTAAACTAGTTAACAGAAGCTGTATATGGGACTGTAAATAAACGGACTATGTCATTCCAGAGAGGAGGTGGAGCATGAGAATGTGTCCACCAGCATTTGTTTGTGCCTGTGATTTAGGATGAGGCAGCTTGAAAAAGGCTTTAGTTCTTAAATTCTACAGATTTTCTTTATTAAAAAAACCCCTTTTGTTGCAAAGTTTTTTTATTATTAGTGTCTGATTTATTTTTATCAAAAAAGGAGTTATTTTCACTAGAGGCTTGGATTGGTTCTAGATTTGCATTGAACAACTTTAAGATTTTTATTTTGAAGACTCAGCATATATTTAAGGATGCATTCTTGTAAAAAGACATCTTAATAATACCGGACCCTTCTTGTGGTCTTTGAGGTTTGTGGAGGCAGAGAGGAATTACCTGTTACGTTGCAGTGAAGATTTAGAATCATGTAACTGCTTTGTCTTTCACTTTTCCCCTTCAGATATTACAGGTAGTTAAAGCTTAATATACCCCAGTTTTGAATGCATTTTTAAGTAAGCACATTTGATTGTTACAGGTTTTCCTTTCATATCATATACTTAGGGTGGAACTCAGTTTGTATTCTTGCTTTCCTTGTTAAATAGACTGAATTATGAGTTACTTAAAAAAAAATAAAGTGTGGAGGCAGTAAGCCTATGTTAACTTGTTTGAGAATCCCTATTGAACTTTGTGGAACTGGTTTTTTAATAGATGCATAGGCTTGGGCTACAAGTAACTTCTGCTAGTGCCGCTAAATCCTGAAAATATTTACTTTAGAACTATGATATTGAGCTTAATGCTTCCACAACTTCCTCTGACAACATTTGTATTGGTTACAGTACAAAAGTGCAATACTCAGGATTCCATTGTAATGCTTATTTAGATGGTTGGCAGTCACAGTGGTATAAGACTGTTTCTTTCTGCTATGTTTGTTGCTTTTATCCCTAGCAAAGACTGTTCAGTGGTTCTGATAAATATATAGAATGGAGTGTAAAAGCAGCCTTGTGCAGTGTAGCTATGTTGTATTTGGGCCTGGGTTTGCAGCTGCTAATAGTTTGAGTGTGTATATTCATATTACCTTAGTGGTTCTTCATGTAGTCTAAATCCTATTTGTGCATAGGTCTTATCTAACAAACATGTGGCTCCAGATCACTTGCTGCAAATTTGTAAACGGATTGGCCCTATACTGGATAAGGAGATTCCACCCAGCATTCCGAGAGTGAACTCCTTGTTGGGTGCAGGGAGGCAGTCCTTACTGCGCACAGCAAAAGGTACATTCTAATTTTATAGTATGTTAAACTTTAGTCAAAGGAATATGAACGTTGCAGATGTTAACATACACAGCTAGCTTTCAAACCAGGATGTGACCATTTCTTATTCACATATTGAGGCTGTCAGGACATATTCACCTTTGAACATATGGTAGTCTTCTGTAGAAGCTCACTTTAATGCTGGGTTTCAATATACTGTTTTGATAATTTTAGGATTGCTGAACAAAAATGCCACATGTTGTTCTACATGGTGCTTCGCCATGACTGATTAATTTTTGTCTGAGTGCATCCCTCCCCTCTTCAGTGCAGCAGTAGTTGTTGGAATAATCTGTATTTTAAGAGAAGATTCTTAGCTGTGAACTTCAATGTATGATTGGCCGAGGAACCAGTGAAGTGAAGCTGGTATTTTGGCGATCAAAGGGCCAGGGCAAATGTTCTGTTTATTGAAATGCTTTTACTGCCTTTTTATCAAAGGCTAATTGTCCTGTAAACATGGTTAAGGGATTGGGAAAAGGCCTTGGGATTGTATGGTCTTTTCTCTCTTACCACAGAGAGTGATTAAAATGTGGAATTCATTGCCAGAGGATGTAGTGATGGTGACAGGAGTAAACAGCTTTAAAAAGGGTAGATTAGATAGATATATCCTCCATGTATCTATCAGTGGCTACTAGCCATATGACTGAGGGGAACCACTACGTTCAGAGGCAATAAACCTCTGAATCCCAGAGCCGGAAAGCAACATCAGGGAAAGGTCTTGACCTCTATGTCCTGTTGTTGGCCATCCGGAGGAACAGGTTGGTCGGTATGTGAGACAGGATGCTGGACTAGATAGACCACTGGTCTGATCCAGCAGGGCTCTTCTTATGTTCGCGTGTCTGTCAGCTTCTTTATGTCTAATGAATTAGACTTAATTTAATTTAATTAATACTACATAAGGAATGTCTTTTAAAAAGGGAAGCAAGGACTGTTACTGTAAGGAATCATACATACAACTGGAACTTCTTTACAGATAGCAGAAATGCAGTTTGGAAAAGCTCTTTCATTGCTGCCCTTTATAGAGGAAGACCCCCTGAAATACCCGTTAACTGTGTTCGACAACCAAATCTTGGTAAGTACATTAGATAAATATACTAGAAGGTACAAAACAGTAGATGGGGGAGGAGTGGAAAATAGTTAGAGCATAGTATATCTGGCATGAAGTATTATGGCTGAAGAATGTATTTTAAGAGTTCCATGGAAACATTCTGGAAACTCGTGGGCACGCCATGAAACTCGTGGGCACTCCATGAAATTGCTGAGCGGTCGGGTTGGAACGGATAAAAGGAAGTACTTCTTCACCCAAAGAGTGATTAACACTTGGAATTCACTGCCACAGGAAGTGGTGGCGGCTACAAGCATGGACGGCTTCAAAAGGGAATTAGATAAGCGTATGGAGCAGAGGTCCATCAGTGGCTATTAGCCACAAGGGATAGATAGGGACTCTGGGGCAAGTGATGCTCTGTCTTCTTGGTGCTTGGGGGGGGGTCAACGGTGGGAGGGCTTCTAATGTCCTGGCCCCACTGGTGGGCCTCCTGATGGCACTGGTATTTCTGGCCACTGTGTGATACAGAGTTTGGACTGGATGGGCCTTTGGCCTGATCCAACATTGGCATCTCTTATGTTCTTATTCTGTTTGTGACATTGACTGAAGTGTTATGATGATGCCTTCCTCAGTTACATTGTAAAGACACATCTCTACCAGGCTAAGATAATTATATTTTGTTCTCTAAATTTCATTGTACTTTGTTTTGTTATATCACATCGGCTAGTCTTAGTTATTATTCAAATGATGAAGGGTATGACTTTGAGGACCCACTATGCTCTTTAGTACTGTGTACTAAAATGCTTAATATCAGCTCTACCAAAGTAGGAGTAAGAGAACTGAGAAGATAGCATGAGGTAAGAATTTCTACTGTATAAGAGAGGTCAACAAGCTCTTAATACATTTTATAACAAGAACTAGATATAGTAAAAACCTGCCTGTTTTAGACAGGCTGGAATTTGTTTTACTGGTATGCTGTCTTTTTCAAACACAGAAAGACTAATTGCAGCAGCCTGTGTCTTGTAGATTTGTTTCTTGCTCACTCCAAGACCTGAACCACCAGTTGTTCTATTCCAATTTGCTTGCAAACTTAATTCTCTTTATACTTTACTCCTGCTGCTGCTGTGTCAGATGATCATTCAGATGATCATTTGCTTGATTTTGTAGAAGGCCATGATCTTGCCTTTTCTCTTCCCCAAGTCTTTATGTCGGAAACATTTACTCATGACTCTAAAGCACAGGCATTGGTGCTGGGAGAAGTGGATGAAGCTGTGCATTATTTTGTAGTTCTGTTCATTTGTTGCTGTAATTTTTGTCCATTTTAAATGTCACTATAATGGCAAATAAATAGTTGGGACTACAAGCTTGACTGCATACCTACGCTTCTTTCAACCATGACAGTGGTATACAGTAAGAAAAGGTAGCAAACACATTTTGAGGGGTAACCTTCCACAAAGTTAAAACGTGTCATGATACTTAACTAATAAAAAGGGTGATGTTCAATAAAAAACCCCCACACAAGGCCAGAAATAGCCACTGACTTATTCTTAACTTGAAGACCACATGAGTGTGAAGTTTTAAAAGAAAAGACTTAACTTCTTAACACTAATGTAATTTTTTATTTTTGTTTTAGTGGAAATAAATTATGCAAAACAATTGACCGGGTGTACAAGATCCAGTTCTTCATTTCCAGGAAGCATGTATCAGCATATAAAGATGCATAGGCGAATACTTGGTCATCTCTCTGCAGTTTATTGTGTAGCATTTGATAGAACTGGACACAGAATATTTACTGTGAGTTAACACTATTCATGTTTGTCAGGCACAGGGAAAGTTGCTTGTAATTGTCTGCATCATGCCTAATGTTTAAAACTTGGTCTTTATAAAGATCTCAGAATTCTGCTCAGTCAGAGCTTGGCAATGATTTATGATTTAGACTGCAGTGGGACCACAGAATGGACCAGGGTAGCAACAGTCTGCTAGGCTTTGTCACATCTCTGGAAGAATTCAGTGAAATGGCATGCTTTGTTGTGCTTATACTTAGGGATGGCCACAAATTGGGAAAATGCGGTTCGGCTTGTGGTCCTCATTTGTGAACCACTGACCATCATGAATTTTTAGCTGCCTCATGAACCAGTGAATGGCTTCCCCAGCATGATAGAGACACAAAACTTGCAGGGGATCTCTGGCTGACTTTCCCCTACCCACCAGCAGCTCAGCAGATATCCTGATAGAAAATCCAGGCCAACAAGGCTTTATTGAATATGTATGTTATTTGGAATGGGAAGTAACAAGTTACTTTCTATGGAAACTGTGAGCTTGCTTTGGTTGTTATTTTTGTAATTGTGTTAATTTGGGTTGTACTTCTTTGGGAAATTTATGGCTACAGTTTGCTTTAATGCATGTAAAATTAATTAGCTGTTTGATGTGTATATGCACAACAATTCTCCTTTTGTGCAAAATACTGCTCATAGAAATTGGCTTTGCTTCTGAGTGTCTGTGCTTTAATTTGGAATTTAAGGTAAAAGGCTTAATGCAGAGAATGGGGCTCCAAATGTTTGTGTTCTTTAATCAAATGTATAAAACATTTCAGTATTATTATTAACATAACTTCAATTATAGTGTTTGTGTGAGAGAGCCGTATTTTTGTCCAATACAGCAGTATAATATCAGTATAGTAAGTTTCATGAAATAATAGAAAAGCTACAGTTCCACAAAGGGATTTTTTTCAAACTCGTGACTTTCAGTTTTTTTAGTAGTCTGCTAGCATCAGAATCACACTAAGAATGAGTATTCCTCACATTTTTCCCCTCTCCACATTTTTCCAGTTCCTATGTTGGTTTATTGTCTTTCAGGTGTAGTTGGGGGGAAAAATCAGGATTTTTGAATTGAGTGCTGTCATCATTGGTCACATCACAGCACCACCACCTGTCCTTATTTTTGTTGCATATGCACAAGAAGTGAGGCTTGGCATGCTCATGCATGAGAAATGCCATTTTTGCTCCTTTGGAAACATGCCCTCCAGTCAGATGTTCACCCCAATATTTGGACATTAAAAGCTGCAAACTTTTTTTTTTTTTAAAGTTCCTATTGTCAAACAGCAGGCAAACAGAGGAACCAATTAATCCCAGTCCCCCATCTAGTCAATTGCTTTCAATTAGCTTTAGTCATTTAAAGGTTTCTGGTAGACTGAGAACAATGAAATGTTCGAGCTGGACCGCTCTTGTACAGTCTTCAGCTGAATTGGAAGTGATGATAAATACCCCCAAACCCCATAGAAATCAAATTTCGATGAAAAATAAACATAGTAAAGGAAAGGAGCTTTGGAATTCAAGGCACATCTTATAGTGCTATATCGCTACCAGCATTTAAAGAAAAATACAAATCAGAGTTGCCTATGCAAGGAAAAGGTTCCTTCTCTATCAGCAGTGAAAAGCACAAAGAGGAAAGGCTGAGTGGCTGGAAAGAGTAATGAGCGCTCTTGTACAAGTGCAAGGAAGCAAATGGCCACAGCAACACACACACACACACGGCAGAGAAAGAAAAAGGTACTACATGCTGCTAGCACGTGGGAAGAACAGTGATCCTCCCTGTGCTGTCTTATAACAGTATAAAGATATATCACTATCAGGTGGGTGCTTTTAGAAAAAACTTGCAAATTTGCTTACATAAAATAAAAATTCCTTATTACTGAGGTGGGGGGGGGGGGGGCAAGAGTGCACAGGGTGGAGTTGTCCCAAGGTTCAATTGCTAAAATTGAACTTTAGTTGCATTTGTTCATGTGAAAAATGTTACTGAGCTTTTGTGGGTTCCTCCCCATTTACTGGACTGTGACCTTGGGACAACTCCACCCTGTGCACTCTTGCCAACTCTTAAGCATCTTTGAGTGCTTGATTTGATTTGAAAGGTAGATTAAAATTTTATTCTTAATATATATCCTCAGGGATCAGACGATTGCTTGGTGAAGATTTGGTCAACTCACAATGGCCGGTTATTTGCTACGCTTAGAGGACATTCAGCAGAAATTTCTGATATGGCTGTGAACTATGAAAACACAATGATTGCTGCTGGCAGTTGTGATAAAATTATTAGGGTTTGGTGCCTCAGAACGTGTGCTCCAGTTGCTGTTCTACAAGGACATACAGGATCCATTACATCTTTACAAGTATGTTTTGCTATATATTGATTTGTTTAAAATGTGTAATCATATATATTTTTTTCCAATTCAGTTTATTTGCTTAAAATCATAAATAATTCATTACAAAACAGTATTCCTGGCAAACATATAGACATGTTTGCTTACCACTGCAAAGCATTGTACATATCTAAAATTGGCTGCTTACAGTTGTTAAATGTAGGAACCAGAATTGCAATAGAGCAACTCAGGTGTACACATCAAGCTTGTTATAGCATGACGTAAATAGGTCGTGCATGGCTTTCCACACATGCCTTTATAAGAAGGGGCAATGGATTGTATATGCTTATTTGATTCTTAGCATATGGTAAAAATACACTTGGTTTCCTCTGTCGTTAGGCCTTGACCCCCTCCTCACTTGGACGGATGAGCTTGGTACCTATAAACCGGTGACACAAGCAACCTTCCCTCTCTTAGCATCTCACAGGGTCACTCATTCAAGACTCATCCCTGGTCTCCAAATAAGAGATCAGAATAGATCCTACAATCACATTGAATGTTGTGCCATCGAATATGGACCAGAGGCATGTCTGAAAACTGATCCTAAAGGTGCAAAGGTCTGGTTTTTGGCAGTTCTCTCTTTAAATCCATCAATGTCAAAGATTGATTTTCTCAGAAAAGGACAGTAAATTTAACCAATTCCCTACCTTGCCTGACCTTTTCCTACCTGACAAGCCTAAGTAAAGACCTTGCCCTACCTGACCATCTTAAGTAAAAACCTAGTAAAAACCATTTTAAACTCATAATCCTTTGTGTAATAGTTGTCTTGTCTTGGTAAATTGGAGGTCACCAAACACAATAGACATTTCACATAAGTGTTACATTGCACTTGCAACTCCTGGGAACTTTATGATGCTTCCTGGCTCAAACAACATTGTTTCACTCACACTATCACAGCATTGTTCTAGGAGCAATCACGTCATGCTCCAAGGGGTATAACCAGACATGCGTTGTTCAGTAATTTGTGTGTGTATCTGGACGTCCAGTAACCTACACCCCCACCGAAAAGGTTGGGCTCCCTGCTTAGAGTGAGATTCTGGTTCGTTTTGCTCGTCTTCCTTCTTGGATCTTTGCTCCTTGGATAGGTAAATATAGTCTCAGAATAAGTTCCCTTCTTTGTCTCTAAGCTACCACCTTTATTTTCTGAACTTATATGTGTGTTCATATAGTGTTTTGATTTCTTTCTTTAATTCTCTTTAATAAAAACCATTTCATTAATAAATAAATTAATTAATTAATTAATCACAGCCTGGCTCATTTTGAGAGTTCTACTGAGGGAAAAATTCCTGTAAACATAGGTGGAGATCCTGCTTCATTACCCCCTCAAGCATTGTTTGGGTTTCCTGGCTAATTCCCCAACAAACTCAGGAAACCCTCACAACCACTTTGGGTAACAGATTAATGGTGGATCACGCGGGCAATCCATCCTGCACATCTGAATAATGTGAGTGCACACACGTGTTCAGAGTGCAGATGTAGGGAACCGTCCCACAGAGAACTCTCACAGGAGTGTGCTGAACTGATTGGTTTTGTGTGATTGCTTCCATCGGGGGTGGGCTTTTCTGCTTTTCATCTCTTGGTTTGTGGGGTTGGGATTTTTGAGTATTAGAATGAAGAGTTTTGTTAGAGTGTATATTTTGTGCTTGAGAATCACACGGGTAAGAAAACCCAACATTGTTATAACATTGAATATATTTTCTTGGACTGTGGAGTAGGATCCCTCCCCTCCAAAGATTGACATTTTAAATTTGGACACGATAACTCAGCTGGTTCCTGACCCTCCTTCCCCTGCTGCTCAGCAAAACCCAGCAGAGTGACAGCTGCAAGTTCCAGAAGAGTTCGTCTCCTCTTGTGGGACTGCCGAAAGCGGTCATGAGATAAATACCTGTCCCTGAGCTACGTCCCAGTGAGTGTTAGGTTCACGGTTGGAAGGACCAGCTGTGCTGCATAGGTCCTTGAAAGGGATCTGTGTAGTGGGTATAAGAACTCCTTTGCCAGGAGGCCCCGCCTACGCTGCATTTTTTCTAGAGAACTGAAATCATGTTCAAGTGCAAATTTAGATCTTCCAACAACAGAAGCAGTGAATCAGACATACTCTGTTTCTCTAGCTGCCTTGAGGAGAGACTCAGCCCAATTTGAGCCATACTTAGAAAAATCAAAAGACTAGAAATTTAAACCACCTGACTATCCCTCTCATCAAGACAGAATGCCTATTGATCTTCCCCTTCATAAAGACTTGCCTAATCAAGGAATTTCAGCAGCACATGACAAAACAGGGACAGTCAGGTTACTAGTCTCCAGGTGTAGCCTGGAGACCTCCTGGAATTTTTCCAGACTGCAGAGATCAGCCCCCCGGAAAAGGTAGCTATTCTGTAGGGTGGACTCTGTGGCATCATGCCCCACTGAGGGCCCCCTTTCCTCTCCTGAGAATCTCTCAATGAAAAAGAAAGTGTTTATTGTCTTATGGTAGCAAGTAGCAAGTATCTCTCTTTGACTCCCTGGTTTCTGGGAAACGGGGGGGGGGGGGAATGGGCACCCTCCCACACACACCCTGCTAGAACATTTTTTCCCTTCTTAGTTATCACAAAGGCCCTGCTAAGAGTGGTTTTATGCCATTTTCCGCAGCAAACTAAAACAGCAAATCAATCGTTTGCAAACACTTAATGACCTTCATTTATATTGTCGTTCAGTACATGTTTAATGATCAATATTCTGATCTGCTCTTGTTAATATTCTTGTGCATAATTTCTTTGCAATTTCTTTAACTTTCAAAACCTTTTCAAGATACGTTCAAGCTAAAAGAAAATGACTGAGCCCCATACTAATTTCGCTTTCTTTTAGAGAATCTTCATTATTTCTAGCAACTCCAAAAGGCAGAACCTCTGTGCTCTAAAATCATTTTTTCTTAAGGAGCTCCCTGCTTCCCCTTGCAAATCTCAGATTTTCTCTCCCACAGCCAGAATGCAATTTATCTATGTTGCTACAGAACTCTTTTGCACAAACTTTTCTTTGTAAAAGGAAAGCCCCAAACGCCATTCTTTTTCCAAATGCAGAAAAATAATGCCACATGCAGTATATTCATCCCTTTTAGCAAAGTGTTTCCTGCAAGTTTGTCTTGTTTAAGCAAAATGGGTTTTAGTATGTTGAACCGAAGAAAAGCGTATGAAGCAACAAGAGGGGAGGGGCACTTAAGCAAAGCTCCCCCACTAAGGGCATGTTTTTATTGCATAGCTAAAGGTTTTATAAAGTCGTGTATTGAGAAGAGAGAAAATGAAAAGTGTTTGGTGGTACCTTAGAATGCTAAGAAGACGTAGAAAAGAGAGAGAGAGAGAGAGAGAGAAGATTTAAGGTTTTCTTTCCCCACAAGCTCCAAGTTGAAAGTACCTTTTGGGGAAAGAAAAGCATTCAAGGAATTGAAAATTCACAGGTATGCTGATCTCCAGCTGGAGCCTGGAGATCTCCAAACTTCATTTATAAATATTTTTTTTTAAAGGCCACTTTGGTACGTTATGCTATCACATCCTTGCGGGGTTTCCCCCCAACCTCCTTCCCAAAATTTCCAAGACTTACCCAAATATGCAGCCTC